GGGATTAAGAAGCCCAATGCAAATTATTCAGAGTTTAAACAAAAATAGAGAATCTATTAACTCACATATCAAATCAAGAAAAAAATGGAGGTGGATCTAGCATAAAAAGAAATTGGTCAAAGAGCTCTTCTGGCCTCTCTGCCTTTTCTCTGGGGGTTAATGCTACTGTCTGAGACCAAACTACTTCTCCAGGAGCCTGACTACAACTTCAGGGAGCTAGCTAGCTCCAGGCTCAGAACTCCACATTATATATATTTTGGTTATTAAAAAGAGCATTGCTCTCCTCCAGCTCCAATTCTAAAAATCCCAGGAAAGAATCCTAATGGCCTGGCTTGGGTCAAGTGTCCACCCCTACACAGACAGGAACACATAAGAAGAGGGCATGTCCAACCTGAACCAGGGAGCTACAGCCAACAGAGAAAGAGATGACCATGAGGGAGAGCAAGGACAAAGGAAGGACAGACATAACTGGTGGAGAATATATATACCACCTGAGCAGCCACCTCAAGTTTTGGCTACCATGTTCTGTAAATACTGTCTTATAATCTGTTCTCATTGAACACAGTGGTAAGTATGTAGACATCAGAACTACTTGACAATCTTTTAAAAACTGGATACTCAGGTCCCACTTACCTATAAAGACTTTTCTAGAAGGACTTCTGTCACGAGCATTTTTCCATGTCACTGAATATTCCTTAAAAACATGGTTTTTAATAGCTGCACAGAATTCTAACGTGGTTCTAAATTTTTTTCAATTTAATGATTTAAATCCAGAAAAACCACATACCATCATGATCTTTTTTTGAACATAATACTCACAAGAGTCAAAAAGCATTTTATGAAAGCACCAACCACTGACATCTCTGCCACACCTTTCTCAGAAACTATGCCACAGGATTCTTTGTGGGGGGTGGTGGCAGGAGGGTGGATTATGGGGTGGGTGGAGACAGTTAGGTGACCTTCTGAGACTTACCACTAGTAAAAATCTAGCACTGAGGGTTTAACAAATGTCTGTAAGGGACAAGGATACAATATACCTCAAAGTATGGCCAGAAGAGCAAGGTCTGTCGTAACCTAATTAAAGTAAGACTGAAGATTATAAACAAACACACTATAACCCAACTAACAGAGGGAAGTTAGTGACAAGAGGGGGGAAAAAAAAAGCAGCCTCAGAAGTCTAAGGAAATGAAAGCCTAAGAGTTTATCACATGCTCTCATATTAGAAGAAAGGGGTACATCTGATAGGGATGCAAGCTAACCTTCCTGGTCTGTTAGCATTAGTCGCTAAAATCATTCAACTAATTTCCCTTGCTGATGTCATGTTCACCAATCAATTTCTTAATTATACTCTGGCTTTCTATAGGCAAAAGAATACACTGGTCCACCAGGTGTAGACAAAGCTGAGAAGGAGGTGAAGAACAGGACCTGGACCTTGCTTATCTTATCCTGCCAAGGCAATGCCAGCTCAAAAAGACCCACAGCAGACACTGATTGCCCAAACTCCTTTTCTGACATTTCTTCTATTTTCCCTTTAAAGAAACTATTTCCAATCACCTACTGATTGGCAACATGTAAGTGTCTTTAAAAAAAATACATACCACCCAGTCAAATAAGAAGGCTGGGACAATAGAATACTAGGAGTAAAAAGATAATCATTGAGAAATGAGGAATTATTAAGTAACAGGAAGTTATTAAAGCAAATGTATCCAGTAAGCAGTCAAGACCTTATATCCCCATATTTCAGGTAGAGCTCAGAACAAGATTTACAAGACACCAAAAGACATGTGGAGGAAGTGGAAGCAACTTCTAATAATATGACAATTAAAGGGAAGCACAAAGTTCTTCTTGAGAGACAAGTTGTCCCCATTTCAGAACATGAGAAAGCTTCTGCCATCACTGGAGCCCTTTGTTACTGCTGCTACATGGTTTCAGCTTCTCTGCCCTAAGCTGCCCCCACCAATGGGATCTCATGGTATAATGGTCTCAAGCCACGCCCATCACTGATGCTGCCCAGGCAGTCTGCAGCTGCACCAGAAGGTGGATTTCGCTAGGGAGAATAGGTGACATCCAATGTCAAGACTGAAACATGTAGGCTCAAAGGGGACCTTCAAGTTGAGAGAGAGATCAAATAGCCTAGGAGTGACAGAATATTCAAGTACTCTTTTACTAGTGAAACCCATTTTTTTCAAAGGAACTTACAAGAACCATATTATATAAATAGTAAATAAAAGTACCTTGGTTTAAAAAAAAAGGTATTTTTAAGTTCATGTAACATGTACTTTTCAAGGTCAGTAAATGAGATCAAATGAGGCTATTTTAACATAAATATTTTAAATGAAAAGTTACAGATTGGAGCAGTGTTTTAACAGCCTTAATATCCAAGTTCTGTTTTTTTAAGTGCAGATTCAAGAAATCACAGAGGTAAATTGTTCCAAATTAGTTTTAATAGCTCTCCTTGCAATCTCAGGATCCTCCTACAAACGACCCAGAAGTTTGAAAAAGAAATTATAAGAAATGTTTACTTCTAAGTTAAATCACTAACAACTGCTACCCTTAGGATTCTTTATCAAAAATAAGAACAAGAAGTATCCACGACTGACAATAAGCAGTAAAACTATAACAGAGTACTATCTCCTCTCAACCTGCTTTGTGTTCCTTGGTGATTGCATAACTCTCACGTCAGCACGCACCAAGCAGATGTGCTGGGCTGGCACCTGCCACAGGGGTGCACTGGCCAACATGTGTAGACCTGCATCCTACAAAAGACCTATGCATTACAGCAGCCTTCCTAATCAATGACACGTTAACATAAAGTACACGAACAAAGACGGCAGAAAGAGTTTATTTTGTCTGTCCCAAAACCAGTTAACCTGGGAGCATAAATCACCACCTTATTGGTCTCCAGTGTTAAAACGTGGCGTCTCTCATTTTGAACGTGCATACTGAGCTTCTTTTAAAAAGTTAAACACAAATAAAAGAAATTCAAATAAACAGTGGCAGAACCCCTAAAGCACCTTTTACTAATGATCTACAGTGTGTCAGAGGTCAGCTCTGCGTATTGAAGAGGTGGTGGTGACAATGAGGGTGTGTACAAAAGAGAAAATCACAGCTTTGTCAAGTAATCTGTTTTACAGATTTGCTATTATAAAATTAACTGTAATGTTGCTAAGAAAAATATTTCTAAGATCTTCTTGTTCCGCACACTGCTGTTCCCTTAAAGTTGGATGAAGCCCATTTATCCTGACCTATTTTTATCATAACAAAGACAGACAAAAACCTGACTGGAAAAAAAAAAAAATCAAGGTTTCTTTTTACCACTGGAGAAAGTGATTTTTCGGCACATTACCACTTCTCTCTGCCCTTTTTACTTTGACCTAAGAAGGTTCACATCTGTTTTTTCCCAGTAAGTACCATTATGCAGATTTATAACCTCTGATCTGCCCATTTGGGTAATAAAATCAAGCCTCTTCTTCAAGGTGTATAGGGTGTGCAACGTGCAGCCAGACTTGAGCTCGCCTAGCTGTGAAAACTTAAGACAAAACACCTAACCTTTGTGCCTGTTTACTCATTTGTAAAAAAGAGATAACAGGACCTACTTCATAGGGTGGTTGTACAAATTAAGGAAACAAAGAAAATGGCACATTTACAGCAGTTAGTAAGTGTTCACTATTATTATTCTTACAGAAAAACTTAAGTCAAAATGCCCAAAGATAATTTACTAACGAATTTACATAATAAGCTACCTGACAAAAGTTCTAAAAATGTTAGATGTATTCAAAAGGAACAAAATGAATTCTCATTATACCATGTAATATTATTTAGAGAAGTTGTTCCTTAAAAGTTCATAGAAGGATCTCAGAATTTAGGAAAATGAAGAATGACCTTTTTCACAGCTTATAAAAATAAAACAAATCTGAACTGACTGGGTCGACAAGCAAGAATATGGTTCCTGTGTTCAGTTCTAACTACAGCTACAGAATTTGTTTTAAAATTTTTTAAGCAGGAAAAATAAAGAGGACACTTATTTGCCTTATTCCTGGAAGTACAGAGCAAGACAGTAAGATGCAAGAGGAACTCTGCAATATTTTCATTATAAGGGACAGGGGGCAGCAGTTTGCAAGTTTACTCTGGGATGCAAAGGACGGGGTAAGAGGACATTTGAACATACAAACATAGGCACGTAAGAAGAGGTAAATTCTTAGTTACGGTGAGTCTGATTTCCCGATCAGAAAAAAAACATGATATAAAACTAATTAATAGAGCCTCTAAGGAACAGAATGCAACAAATGCTCTGGGTACCAAAGTTGCATCTTAGAGCTCCAGGCGGTGGCAAAGTTTGAGAGAAATCAATCCTTTATGCGCACGTGTGAGCAACAATCTGCACAACGCTGCTACTAAAGGCGGTAAAGGGCCCGCAGAAAGAGAAACCCAGCTGCCTGTTTGCAGAGTCTAAGTGCAGTTTCCCACAGGGGAGAAGGCAGGCACAGGAAAGGGGGTGCAAAAGGAGGGCGGGAGGAGAACGCAGGGAAACCGCCACAGCGTGTCTGCTTCACGAGCGTCTACTTCTTAGCTCGCTATTGAGTAACTGGGGCAGAGGAGAGGCAGCATTTTCGTTCAGCAACGATGCAAGCAACCTCAGCGCGGCCCCTGGTGTGAAGCTCGCGGCGGGGAGGAGGTCACAGCTCCCGCAGGACCAGGGGTGCCCCGCTACGCTCCCGGCCCCGCCGCGTTCCGAGCGCGCGGCGAAGCTGCAGGGAGGGCCGGCGGGCTGGGCGCTCGGGCGGACTCGCAGTGCCCGAGCAGGGGTCCCTCGCGCACTCGGCCGCGGTGCCCCCGGGCCCAGAGCTGCACCGCGCCCCTCTGGCCCGGCCCGGGAGCCTGGACGCAGCCCTCACCACCTGGCGGGAAGCGCAGGCCCCCACGCCCCCTCGGCCTCCGACCGAGCTCGGGCCAGGACGGGACCTGCTTTTTGCGCCGGGCCGCTGCGGCGCCCCACTCACCTCGCCCCCCGGCAGCGCTCGGGCTCGGGCTCGGGCTCAGGCTCGGGTCCCGGCGGCGGCGGCGGCGGCGGCGGCGGCTCCTCCATGGCGGCGGCGGGGGTGACGGCGAAGGCGGGCGGGGGGACCAGCTCGGCGGCGGCGGCGGCTTCTCTCATCCGTGCACGGGGCCTCGCATGGCCGCGGCGGACAGTAAGCTGCAGCCCGGCGCGGGGCACCGGAGCCCCGAAGTGCGGGAGTGACTCGGCTCCGCCTCCGCCTCCGCCTCTAGCCCGCCGCAGGAACCGCTCGCGCCGCGGCCATCTTGGAAACGGCGCCCGGCCAGCGCCGGGCTACGGCGGGCGGCGAGGGACAAGCCTCCGAGGGCGGCGGCGGCGGCGGCGGGCGCGGCGGCGGGCGGGGAGCCGGCGAAGGGAGGGGCGCGGGGAACGGCCCCGGGGGCCGGCGGCGTGGGCCACGGAGGCGGCGGCCCGGAGGCACGTCGGGCCGCTTGCCCCGGGGCCGCGTCCCGCCGCGGTCGCCTCGTTTCGCTCGCGGAGAGTGTGCGCTGGCGTGAGCACGGCCGTGCTCCCGGGCGGCCGGCGGTGGGCGTGCGCGGAGGACCCCGGGAGGGGCCGCGCGGCCTGGGTTAGGCGGCGATCGGGGACTTTGGAGTGGGCCCTGAGCTTCAGCAGATGGGTCGCCGCCAGAGGTGATGCCATCCTCAGAAATAGGGCTGCATGCAACGCAGACGCCCGCTGCCCTCACGCGGGCGTGGGGGCTCCGGGGACCCGGAGTCCGGGGCGTTGGGGTGCGCTGATGAAAATTCGACAGATACGTGAAACGCGGATTTCTGAGACTAAACAAAGTCTCCGGAAACGCAGAACATCAACAGGGCGGGAAAGAACGCTGATCTCACCTAACCTCAGTAATCACAAAGTGGTTTTGATCTTCCAGAAACTCTGGCGGGAGCTGCTACGGTAAAGGAGGAAGAAGTTTTTAAGATTGTTTCAGAGTTACAGCAATACTGTTGAAATCCCAGTGCATCCTGTGCCCTTAGAGAGGACTTGGGGCTTCACGGTTCTAAGTCGCACACGCTTACAGGATTTCCCGCAGAGTCAAGGCCAGAGTTAATTCCAAAATAGCATCATTTAAAATTAAGTATATTTCTCATCATTCAAGTGTGCTGGTTTTTAAGACTTACTTCAGTGGAGCCTGAATATGTAAAATACACGTTTTGAATAAATGTTGGGAAGAAAACCCGTCAAGACAGAAAACTTTAAATATGGTTATATTTAAGGGCCAGTTGTTGGGCGCCTGGGTGGCTCAGTCGGTTAAGCGACTGCCTCCGGCTCAGGTCACGATCCTGGAGTCCCTGGATCGAGTCCCGCATCGGGCTCCCTGCTCAGCGGGGAGTCTGCTTCTCCCTCTGACCCACCCCCTCTCATGTGCGCTCTCTCTCTCAAGTAAATGAATAAAATCTTTAAAAAAAATAAAATAAAATAAAGGCCAGTTGTGAAATTAGCTATATTGCCCTCAAAGTACCTTACAGAAACTTCTGCTTCAATTTATTTTATCATGATAGTCTGTACTGACATTCATTTTATTTATTCAACAACATTCATTCAACAAAACCTTATCAAATGCATATATGTGCCAGGAACTGTACTAGATGCTGAGGATAAAGCAGTGAACAAAACAGACTAAATCTTTTCCTGGTAGAGCTAACATCCTAGTTAATCAAGGGGAAGAGAAAGAAAACAAAAGAAAAACAAACAGTGATAACTGCCATGCAGACCTCAGCTGGGAAAGGAGTTGGACAGGGATATAGTGTTTTACCCAGGTTGGTCAAGATGGTTAAATGATTTGGTTAAACAACCATTCCTACTTAGCGAATTTCAAATTTTCTTTTGAAATAGTTGTTTGACAAAATCAGTTAACTTTATCCTCATTAACTCATATCTAAGTATTTTAATACTTTGGGTAAGTCATGGTTCACAAATAATTCCTGAGGACTGTCTAAGCCTGTGGCCTATCATCAGGCCTCCAAGCTTGTAAATCTATATTTGAAATACAGACCAACATTTGAGAGATGTGGGGTTTGTTGTTTTAACTTCCACTTGAGGATACTGCCTATTTTAGTGTGAGCCAAATGAATTTTCATTTGACTAGTCACGGAAGGTGTCATGTGTAGAAACCCCACTTAACTAGTACTAAATATTCAATTTAAGTGCAGGGAAGTTTTTCTTCACTTAAGGTAATTTGGTGGTAGGCATCCACCTGTTTTTGTTACTGGTGTTCTTCTATTCCGTGCCACCTCATTTCAGCAATTCACTATTCCAGATTCCAAGATCTGAATTGATTTCCTTCTTACCTGCACCCACCTCAGACCTGCATGTGGCCTGTGTTCTCCTGCTCAGTCAGGGTTCTGAACAACGACTTCGTCAGCCCCCTGACTAGTGGGTCCCAAATCCTGTCAAATTCTACCTCCCTGGTGGAATCCACACACCGGTCTCTGTTCACTAGTTCAGACCACCATCCTGTCTCATGGAGATCAGTGCAAGCCTCCAGGCCTCCCCGCCCCCTTCCTGGGCTCACCTCCCAACCCAATCTGTCCTCACCCGGCAGTCACACTAATCTTTCCAAATCTCAATCCAAACATGTCACCCTCTTACCTAATTCATTTTATTGACGTCTCCTTGCTGTCAGAATAAAGTCCATAAAGAACATTCCTGGGTTCTTCAAAGGCTCCATGGTTGGTCCCGTGACTAAGATTGTGTCCAAGCGGTTCCACACCACCCTTTCCACCTGCCCGGGGCTCTTCTGGGGCAGGAGCAAGAGCCCTGCACTCTGGCAGGCTAAGAATAGGCATCCATTCAAATGATAATTAAAAAACATTTGTTCAAGAGGGAGATATATAAATATATATATATATATATATATGTATATAGTCATTAATTCATTTCCATTGTGTGAACAAAGCTCAACAAAGTATTTCCCAGCTTTCTGAAATTCTGGTTCTCCTCTTAATTTTCCTTTATAATTTTCTGGGCCAGAACCCTTCTTGGAAGGCACATTAGAGGTTTTAAATTGTATATAATCAGATAAATCCCCCTCCTGTGCACAGCCTTATACCATATATTCTTCGATATTGGTATTCCAACCAAGTGTGACAACAGACTTTAATGGAGCTGCCATACACACACGTACAACCCGAGGCACAAAGGTGCTCCAGGGATATAAATCAGGGACTGACTTCCTGTTGTTACCTTAATTTCCACTTAAGGGTACTCTCTATTTTAGCAGGAACCAAACAGATTTACACATAAGCAATGGTGTAAGGCATCTTGTACAGAAACCTCACATAACTGGTGCTAAATAGTCAATATAAGCGCAGGGACGGCTTGCCCCAACCCAGGCCCCCACAGCACCCTACCTCTCCAGCCCTCAGATTCCTTTTCTGCCTTCTCCACTAGAGTGTGTGCTCCTTCACGATAGGATCGTACTTCTGGCATCCACCATGGTGACTTCTAACCATGAATTTCAGGCCCAAGTTTGACACATGCTATTATGAAGTCGCAAACTAATATGTATATGTTACATATATTTATATATATAATTTTTATATATAATATAAAAACATAGTAAATAAATATTTAATATATAATTTATATTTATATATTTAATATATATTAAATATATATTTACTTAATATATAATTAATTATATATATAATTAATTATATATTATATATCTCTTATATATTATAATTAATAAAATAGAAATATATTTTAATATATTATTAAATATATACATTTAGAGTTTTTGGTTTTGTTTTTTATAACAAAGATATGACAAAGACATGAAATGTAAAGGGCACCACTGTGGTACCTCAGTATCTCAAAGATCACCACTCTTAATACCTTAGCATCTTATCAAGGCTAGTATATTAGCAGAGAGCCAACTTCATGGGTTTTGTTGCAAGCTGATTCAAAAAGCTGTTGCAAGCTTAATTTGTATGCCAAGCCATGCTATAAATGGGGTCATGTCTTTGTTATAAAAAACAAAACCAGGAGATTTTGAGGCTATAGCTTTTTTAAATTATTAGAAGCATGGGGCTACACTTTACTTAGCATGAGTTCCTCCCTTCCCTGTGGTATTCATGAGCTCTCCACCCAGATTCCTGTGCGAAGCTCAGATAGATGTCCCCAGCCAGTCCCTCTCCTCTCCAGTGGCTCCTTGGCAGTTCTGCCCAGCTCTGCAGAGGCAGAAAGACAAGAGTGCAGACATCCCAATCTGCTCATGACCAGCGGCGGTTGGCTCATTTCCACCCCAGCACACAGCAAGAAAGTGTGTGAGAAAACTTCACTCCTCTAGAGGAAAACCTAAACTGAGCATTACACACATAGATATTTTTTTCTGTAATGACACAATGACATCTATTTCTACCTACCAGTAAAACACAAAAAATATTGGATATATACAAAAGATAATTAGTTACTGTACTTTTTAAATGGTCCTTGTAACTTTAAGCTTCGCCCTTGTCTGGTAAGTAGTGAGAAGTTAGGTAAAATCTCCCCCAGTTTTTCTGACAGGTGATTTGCCAGTTTTTGTTATTTCTCCACCAGGACCCAAATCATACCTTATTTCAGACATTCTCCTCTATACAAACAAAGGGTCTAAAATGAGCCCCCGAGGCCTCTGAATCATTAAACAAAGGATAAAAAGTCACTCTCTTTTTCAGTGGTTACAAGGGTATGAATGAGACCACTAGGGGGAAAGGCAGTGTCCTCCAATACGTGAAAAGTTAGGCCAGAGAAGGGGGCTGGTGCTCCAGAGATCCCCAGTATAAAGAGCACGCCAGTCCTTTTCCTTCTGGAAGTGCGGGCCGTAAAAGTCAGGAGAGCCTACACTTCTTCATCCCGCCTCTGACTTCTCAGTTCACCTCTCCAGGGTCCTGCCAATGTGAGCTTTTAAGCAATTAAATCCCTGAGGAAGCCCATTCTTCTTGCTAGCCAAAAATTTCTCCCATTTCCCCACTCACATGTCTACAGAACTTGCCTGATCCTCTCCCTTCCCTTCCTCTTTCAGACATCCAGGTGTGAGCTTTAGAGAACTATGAAACCACAAGCTACAGTTCCTGAATGATTTTCTGATTCCTCCAATCCGTAAGCGTGTACTTCACACATGACATGGAACCAGGTACACAGAAAGGATGACTGAGCCAGCAAGGAGCTCCCCCCAAGGCTTCTGTTCTTCACTTTCTCATGCCAAGTCACTCCTTCCAAATGCAGTTCCAGGTTCTCCCAACCACTCTGGGAAGACGCTTCTGAGCTCCAACACCAGTCTGTCCTAACCTGACAATTGGCCCCCTAACACCTTGGGTGAACCCTTACTTTAGCACTGTCTACCTCCCTAACTGCATCCATATATTTGGTTGATTACATGTGTCTTTCCTTGCCTATGACCTTCTAGAGAGAGCAGGCATTATTCCTTGCTATCACTGTCTCTTCAGCACATTGTACATGTTCAGTAAAATGTTGGAAAAAT